CAAGAGACCGAATGGGCGTCTGCCGGCCTGTGTTTAAGGCACATTCCTGAGCTCCCAACACAGAAATAAAAGTGTTCCCTTGTCTGCGAGCTGAAGAGACAGCGATATTACGGTGTAACTAGGACCAGATGGGCGCCGGGAATTTCCAAAGGCCTTTAGCATGTTAGACAAAATAGCCTCCCAGACGCATGCCATAACTTTGTCTGGCTGCCTGGGCATCGGTTACCGAGACGACCAGCCAGTGGGCCTCCAGCAGGGCCCTGCCCACTCCGCTGCATCCCAGCAGGAGCCCGCCTGCACACGAGCACTTTCCAGGGTTCCAAGACCAGGACGTGCAACAACCATGTCAGACTCCGGAGTTGGGAAGGTTCTGAGAAAGTTCCAGAGTCTGTCTAGCCAGACTTCCCCAATCCCCAAAACTTCTCGACTGACACCCCCTGGGCGAGGAACGGGAGCGCACACTACCCAGAGTGGAGGAGCACAGCCACCTAGGTGCCAGGCTCTGAAGACCCCAGGGATCTTCCATTCTGGCCCGGAGACACCCCACTCCATCTCATCCTGTCCTCGTCTGCATGAGGACGAAGCCACTTTGTACACTGCAGAGCTTGGAAATCACTGTGAGGCCAGAACTCCCTCAGCGTAGACCACACATGGGACAATCTCTGGATGACACTGGCTGTGACTCCGTTCCAGCTCTGACCACAGCGGATTCTTAGTTAACACTAAGCATTTGCCATGTGCCAGGCATCACATGGGGGGAACACTGAGGCACAGGGTGGCCAAGACTACGGACCCAAGCTCTAGCTATTAAATGCATGCTCTCCCCACCCCCCACTGGCCTTCCAGTGGGTCCCAGTGGCTGCGTGGACAAAGCCCCTCTCTCTCCCGGTCTAGGTTCCCCTGACTGGAGGAGGAAGCCATGATGGCCTAATTCCATCCCTAGATGCTCCAGAGATGCAGCAGGCCTGGGTTCACCCTAGAGTTCAATGGGGGAGGTGGATGTGGGGATACGGGATACATGGTCACCACCCAGCACAGGGCCTGGCACCCCAAAAAATCATGGTGGGGTTGTTGAATTCTGTTTTGTAGGCTCAATGGCATAGTGGCGACTTTCACTGATATCAATAACCTTGGGGCCCTTGATAACAGTAAAAGGTGCAACTCTGGTGCCTGAATGGCCCATTCGCCTTTCAGCCTCTGTGAGGCTGGCACTCATGTGACTCCATTTGACAGATGGGGAAACTGAGTCACAGATAGCTATCACTTGCCAAGGTCACACAGAAAACATGGGCAGGAATAGGACTCGAATCCACTGCTCCAGTTCTTGTGCCTGTACCCACCCTTTAACCTGCTTCTGGAAAGGGATCGCCATCTCAGGACATTTGGGTTCGGGTGGAGGCTCCAGCCAGTGTGGGTATGGGAGGTCTCAGGGTAGGGCTTTACCTGCCTGGACTCCTTTATCTTCAGCCAGTCCCGGGCGAGGAGGAATTAGCTTCCCCATTTACAGAGGGTGAAACTGAAGTACGAAGCAATGACATCATTTGCCCTGTCACTGAAAGTCATATTCAAACACGGGTCTGAGTTCAGGCCTAAATTTCTCTCCATGAGCACATAGTGCTTGAAGGAAGATAGCTGTCCTCCCCCTCTGGAGTATAGCAAGGAGAATGGCATGTCTGGACCCTCTGTAGTGGACAGTGGGGGCTGCAGGGGGCTTCAGAGAGAAGTCAGTGCTTCCCAGAGGCTAGGAAGTCTCCATAGCCAAACAGCCCATGAACTCCCAGGTCAAAGCTAGCCTCATAGCCGGGGGACAGTGGAAGGGGGGAGAGAGTGAGTGTGAGAGCCCAGTGAGTGTGAGGACCTTGAATTTTGGCCTGGGCCTGCTTCTGTAAGCACTGGGATACCCAAATTGGAGACTGACTTTGTCTCTAATTGAAGAGGTAACAGAACCGGAAGGGTAGAGGGGAATGTGGCCAGTGCCACATGCATTGTACACTGCTGTATGCCAGTCCCACGTCCACTTCTCACACAGCCCTCTGTAAAGGAAGAGGAGGTTCAGAGAGGGGGGTGTCACCTGCCTGGAGTCACACTGCAGAGGAAGAATTCAAATCTGGACCAATCTGGCCAAATCTGGACCCTGCATTCTTTCTTGAGAGGCCCCTAGCTTCAGCCCCTGACCCCAGCAGAGCTCATGGCTCCTACCCATCCTGCCAATGGTGCCTCAACCCTAATCATGAGGAGGGAATTCAGAGGAAAATGCCTAGGTGAAGCCCCTCTGCTCTGTCCCTCAGCCATATTGGCCTTGGGTGAGTGCTGTGGGTTTCCCTGAGCCCCGGGTTCCCAGGCTGTACCTGAAGCCCAGGTTCCTGGCTGGGAGGCTTCTGGGAGGGAGAACGAGGATTGGAGCAGGGAGGGTGGTCCGGCTCCAAGTTACTAGCTGAGTGGAGGCTCCTGGGCTTCTCATGCTGACACCAGGTCTGGCACACAGCATGCTCAGCACGCCCTTCCCTCCTAGAGGCTGAACTCTGGGCCTCCCTGGGCCTTGTGTTGCCCATCAACAAACTGACAGTGATGAGTGCCAGAGACCAGAGCCAGGATGCAAACAGGCCATCCTGGAAGGACACCTTCCTTCTCATCCACCCCAGTGGGCCCATCCAGCTGCGTGGCCCAGGCCATCCCCCTCATGCCCTCAGCACCATGGGAACAGGTGGTCTTGAGATCTTCGGCTCCAACTGTGCACACGCCAGCCCACAGGCACTTTGCAGCTGCATGCTCTGTTTTACTATAAATGATCACTTTGTACTTTGAAAATTCAGGCTGAAAGCCGGATGGCCTTTCAGAAGGCCCAGTGTGTTTTGCAGCTGCACAGCATTTCAAAGGCAGATGCAGGAGCTGCCTGGCTTTGCAGGCCTCACTTCCCTCCACCTGGCACCCTTCTCCGCCTGCCACCACTACTGGGCTTCCGATGGTTGCCTTTCCCCTCTTGTCTCTCATCTGGCTTGGACAATGGGGTGCTTCCGCCTGCCTCTCCCAGGACCACTGGGATGTGGTTTCACCAAGGTACTCTACCAGAGGATGGTTGGGGAAAAGGCACCATTTTGAGTCAGATGGAAACAAGTCCATTCCCTTTGCCACTGCCTGACTCTGATCTTGGTCAAGTCACTTCACTGCTTTCTCATCCGAGAAATGTGGTACTAAGGATGACAATGGCGATGATGACTTACTGATTGCTTACTCTGTGCTTGAAGCACTGTGTAAATATTAACTCATTTCATTCTCAAATCACCTGTGAGACAGGTACTGTGGCCCCATATTACAGATGAGTAAACTAAGCTTAATGTGTGTGTGGGGAGGTCTATGCATTCACTGCTGCGTCCTGTCACCTCCCTGACCATCATAACTCCCGGGATGGCAGGAGCCTCCGGAGTCTCCAGCCAGGGTCAGCTGAGATGAATAAAAGTGACTCTAGGGCCAGTGGACCTGAGCAGCTCCTGGCCCAGCCAGATGCTTGGCTGAGGGGCCAGGGAGGCAGGCGTCCTGAAAGACTTCCTTCAGATTTGCTGGGGGTCTGGCTAGGCTGGGAGAGCCATGCCAGCACTGGCTTTGTTAATGCCCGAGGCGGCAGGGTGGGATGTTCATTCCCGTCTATCCCCCTAGAGCCTCACCAGGGCCCTATTAGCCTAGACTGCAGGGGGGATGCTAATGGGGGGCTGTCCCAGCTGGCTCTGCTGTTTCTTGCTGGAAAGCCCCTCCACCGGCCCCATGAGGAGATCGAAGCTATTTCTCCAGAGATCAAACTCTTTCTCCCAGGCCTCAGCCAGCTCAGCAGCCAGGCATGGTGCATAGGCAGGCGGTGGAGAGGCCACATGCAGGCCATGCCTGAATAGTCCCAGGTTCTGAGCTGCCACCTGCATCGTTACCGCCCCATCCCACACACACTCCTGCTCCATCCCTGCATGCTCAGGACCGAGATGCACCACATACAAGAGGCAAGGACTGGCCCAGAGGCTCCACAGGCAGGCCCAGGCCCAGAAGGGCTTCCATGCTAAGTGGGCGTGGGCTCAGAGATTTGCCCCCTCCCTGGGCTGAGCTCTGCAGGGAGTTCAAGCCAGAACTTCTGCAGAAATCCCACACAGACCCAGTCATAGGAGCTGGTTTGAGTTGAAGGTGTCCACATGATGGCATGGCTTGCCTATGCCACCCTGACTTCTCCCCAGGGCCAGTGTGTTCCAGGCAGAGGCTTTGTCTCCTCAAAGGGCCCCTCTGACAAGCATCCTTATAGCTCCCCCTTGAGGAAGCAGCTCACAGACTGGAGCTGGGGACTTGCTTCAAATCCTCACTCCTCCATTTCATACCTCAGTTTCTGCATCTGTAAAATCGTGTTAACATAGATCTTACCTCCGACAGGTAATTCCCACCAAGAGCCTGGAACAGGGCCTGGCCCTTCCTACAGCTCGGTGTCAGCCTTTATCAATCTCTGCACACCTAGCCTAGGGCTGACCCTGGCCCCTGCTAACCCCCAGATGTCCTCCTCCCTGGCTCTCCACCTAGGCCTTGCCACTGAAGCATGCCCTGGGCACACTGCCAGGCTGACAAAGTCTCACATCCCCCCCTGCCCTGACCAGGCCTAACCCACCCATGCTCCAGCCACATCCCAGGGCTGTCCTGACAGGGCCCTCAATGGCCAACCACTCTGCAGAGCCACCATCACAGCTCAGCTCTGCCTACCTATCCACCCCTCACTTTCCCCCATTCCACTCCCAGTGACCTCAGCCCCCAGGGACCCAAGGTCTCCTCTGACTGGAAGACCCCACCTCCCCACCCCCTTGCCTTGCAAAGCATGACAATACACACTTCAGCATCTGGCAGAGCTCGGCTCCAACCTGGCCCTACCACAAGATGTGTGGCCAGGGTCAAACTCTGCACCCCACCAGACCTCATTTCTAAGTTATCCATTCCCAAGAGTCCCAGCCTTTACTGGGCAGGTGTCTTGCTTTGTGAATTTTAAGTCTTTATTTCCTGCAGTCCTTGGGAGGCAGGGACTGTTCACCTCAAGAACACACGGCAGCCAGTCCAACCATTGCCTTTATGTTTCTCTAGGAAAGAAACACCCCAATGACAAACTGTTTGTCACTGGCCCCCAGCTGTCCCAGGAAGTACCTCGAGTCAGATACAGAGAGACCACAGGAAAGGGGGTTGGTGTCAAAGTGCATTGTTAGTGTCTTGGGGTCGGTCTGTCCTGAAGGTCAGCATTTTTAACAATTTGTGGCCTTGGACCCCTCCCCTCACCTCTCCTGCAAAGGTGTGTGAAGGATGCCTTGGACTGAAGCAAGCAGAAGTTCTGTGGGTAGGGCTGACTGAGGCCACAAAGCCCAGGTAGTCCAACTCCCCAGGGCTAGGAGGGGTGACTTTTCCTCCCATCCAGCTTCCCAGACGGCCCTGCATGTCCTCTTCAGAGTAGGGTGTAAAGGCCAGAGGGATCCCTAGGGTCCATGGACAGGGAAAGATAGGAACTAGACACTTTGAGTGAGGCCAGTGGAGACCACAATCCACCCAGGGCCTGCCCAGCTGCCACCAACCTTCACAGCCTCCAGACTTCCCTCCAGGAGCCCCTGAAACCTGCTTCTGAGCTAATTCTTTCCCCCCATCCTGACCCACCCCCCACTGAACAGGGAGACCATCGCCAAGGAGGCCTTGAATGCCCTCAGGACTCCCCATCATCACAGAGGGGTCTGGGAAGCAGGCCCAGACCTTGATTCTTTGAGGGGGAACCCCAGCTGGGAGAACCCCTGCACTGCTTCCCTACAGCCCCCCCACAATCCTGCGGAGCTCCTGCCTGCTGACTGGGAATCCAGGGACCCCTAGAGACCAGGCTCAGCAGCTCTCATTAGGCCCACTGCATCAGCCCCCTGGAGAAGGGAAGGGGCACCTCCCACACTGTCCACTGATAAGGAGGCAGAGATGGACATTTCCTCTGTCTGACCTGGACACCATGACACCCCAGCAGGGACCTCCCTGTAGCCGGGGGCCCAACGTGTCCTCCCCCATTCTTGATGAACGACCCCGCCTCCCCAGGGCCCCGATGGGGTCTTCCCTGGAACTGGCTCTGCCTTCTACCACACCAGGAGGCCTGGAGACCCTCAGGCACCAGCGGGGAGGAGCTGCTGCCAGGCCCAGCCCTTCCTGCCCCTCCCGGCTCCCTGGGCTCCTCTGCAGCCCAGAAGGTTAGACAACAATGAGCACTAAGGGCAGCGCATGGCGGGGCCCGAGGTGGCGGGGAGACACTTAGCCAGGGCACCACTGGTCAGGGCACAGCGCAGGGAAGCAGCGGAGTGTCTGAGTTCTGTGCTGACACGCTGGGCGACTCAGGCCCAATGAGCCCCAGGTCATGTAAATTAAGGATGGAGTCAGCGATGATGCGGGCTGTTCGCTTCTGGTACCCGCCTGAGGTCACCATGAGGATGGGTATCTGGTGGCCTCGGACCATTCGGAACACCAGTTCATCTCGCTTCACGATGCCCTGTGCAGGAATGGGAAGGCAGGCTCAGGCTGGCCTGGACTTCCATATCAGGAAGTCCTACTGCCAGTCTACCTCTGCTCCACACTGCTGTTGCTCCAGTCCATCTCCTCCTTGATGTCGTGCTGTCTACTCTCTCTGCTGCTGCTGAAACCCAGAGCATGCCCTCCTTGCCCCCCAGGGTCAGGACACACCCCTGGGCTGGTGGACAGCCACGAAGAGGTCCCCAGGGTCAGGACACAGTCCTGGGCTGGTGGACAGTCCCCCAAGGTGGCCCCCAAGGTCAGGACATACCTCTGGACTGATGGACAGCCCCCCAAGGCGGTCCCCTTCGAGGATGTCAGTGCCTGCGTTGTACACCACCACATCGGGCAGATGCTCCTTGAGGGCTTTCTGCATGTTCCTCTCCACTTTGTTCAAGTACTCATCATCCTCTGTGCCCCACTCTAGCTCCACCTTCCGCCTGATGGCCTCTGGGAAGAGACAAGAATAGCCCCATGTGCCAGGCAAAGAAACTGAGGCTCAAAACAGGAAATGGTGGGGCCTCTGTTGATGCCCTTGGCAAGACTGCAAACAGGCCACCTCATTCCAGCTCAGCTTGGCCTCTCATTTCACTAAAACTGAGTTGAAACAGCACCACGGGCTGCAAAAGGGGCACAGTGGAAGAGGAGCGGGGATTAGCGCTGAGATGCATCAGCCAAGCCTGATGGCACTGCCTCCTCAGACCCTGGCCCACGCATGGACACCTGCTCCACCCCCAAGCTCAAGTCCACACATTCTAGATGGTTTGGCTGAAGGGGACTTGCTAGCACCTAGTCTGAGACAAGCTAATTTGGCTTGACCTTTAAGGGGTGAGGTCCAGTGGGGCATGCCCTTGAAGGGCCCACTGGACCACTCCCTTCGGCCCGTTTCCTGTCAGGACCAGGTGAGCAGCTTTGGCCAGCAGCACTGGGGAAAGGAAAGAGGGCAGCTTGATGTTTCCTCTTACCGCAGGCCCAAAGGCAACCCCAGGCCAGCTAACCATGGGTCTCTAGAACCTGAGCCAAAGCAACCCTTTCCTCCTTTTCAGGCCCCGAGCTGTGGTGTGGGCAGGATCTGGAAATCTCTACCTTCTGCTTATGAGCTTAACCTACTTTCATTTGAACAGCTCTTTTGTTTGGGCTTGCTTCTGCCACCTACTTTATGTTATCTACTTACCTTCTCTCTGCTCTGCTAATGCTAACCCCTAACTACCAACCCCCATGGTGTTCCCAGATAGGTCTGGGTGGTCTTGGTGATTAGTGACCTGTCAGGCCCCAACTTGCTGGTGCACACAAGAATCCCCCCACCTGATGCTGAGGCTAAGGAGAGGCCTCTGCAGGCCGGAATGGAGGAAATCCAGTACGAGCCCCACACAGGTGTATGTATACCTGAGGACGGCAGCTGGTGAAGCTTACCTTTGGCAAAGCGGTCCCCAGGGTAGATATGGCGGTTGTAGACATCCATTATATACACACGCTTGTCCCCCATGAAGTCTCGCTCATGCCCGTTGCCCTGCAGGAGGACACAACTGCCACTGCAGGCAGGTAGCCCTTGGGGAGGCCAAGACTTCCACCCACCTCTGAACTCCCACTGCCTGGGTGCCTGCTTGCCCTTGGGGCGACAATCTTCCAGCTGAGGAGCTACAGAGCTAAGATGTGACCTTAATACCTGGTCCTGCGGTCTCTGGCAGGCCCTGGAGCAAGCCTGGCCCTCTGTGTGTTCTTCCCCAGGAACCAGTGCAGGAATTCCAGCCCTGCCACCCTCTTAGTCGTGATGGGATCCGAAGGATCAGGGATAAGGAAAGCAAACTGTGAAGGGCTGTGCACGTGTGACTTTGTAGCTCAGCAGCTCAGTGTTCTGGGAACTTGGGGCAGGGTCCCAAGTAGCACAAAGTCACAACAGCAAGGGTGAGCCCATTCTCCCCTCTCCCCTGGCTGGCCAGAGGAGCCAGCCTGTGTTCAGAGTCCTGAAAAGGAGGTACCTTTATGCCGTAAGTTCTTAAACAGTGAGCCCAGAGGGGGCTGAGAACCCCTGAAATTGTGCATTGAGCATTGGCCTGAGGGGCAGGGCCACAGTGCTCACTAGCTCAGGGCAGGGGACGGGCACCCCAGTGACTCACAAGTGGTGAGGAACCACAGCAGAGCATGCAACTGGGTTTTAGGAACCATCTGCCTGGTGTGGAGGCTTAGGGTCAAAGGAGCAATGTGGAGGATCTTTGGCCCTAGCTAGGCTGAGCTTGGCAGGCAGGCAAAGGTGGGCCCTCATTTCCAGTCTGAGCGAAGCAGGAGACAGAAGTCTAGCTTGGGGGTGTTCCAAGAGAAGGGAGCCCAGGGTGAGTTGGTGTGACAGGCTACTGGGGGACACGAGGGTAACTCTGATGCCATAGGGAGGTGCTGGGGCTGGGCTGGGGCAGAGCACTTACCTGATGGGCATCGAGGTCAATGATTGTGGCCTTGGAGATGCCCTCCACACGGTCAAAAAGAAACTGCCCAGGAGAGATGGGGATAGGTGAGGACTGGACAGACATGGGGACTGAGGGGGTGAGGGGACGGGAGAATAAACATGTGCCTGTGGTCACACAGGTAGCAAAGGTATCACTTGCCCTGGAGGGAAGGCTCCTGAAGGAGGGGGTACTATACCTGAGGGGTACGTCAGGTCCCCAGATTCCTTGGGACATGCATGGAGGTGAATGGGAGAACCCCTATAGCCCTGGACCTTCATTCCCCAAACTCTGCTACATCCCACAAGGCCAAGGGCCAATCCCCTCCTCCAGGAGGCCTTCCTTCCCCTCATAAGGTCTCCTGCATGTCCCCCTCCCCTAATGCCAAGTGTGTTGGCCTTCTGGCCTGTACATGCCCGGGGAAGTGGGACCACACCACCCCGTCCAGATTCCCAGCATGAGACCAAGCACAGAGACCTGGAAGCTAGCTCCCCCGGACACACTTCCAGCTGTGTGACTCCCCACTTGTAGCCTTACTTCCCTTCTGTGGCACCTATAGTGGGAACCCCACATTTGGGGCCATGGGAGGACTCTGGGGAGGGCTCTTGGCTGCAAAGTCACACACGCTCACAGACACACCTTGATGGCGAGCGTGATGTCAGCATAGGCACAGAAGCCCCCGCCACGGTCACTGGAACAGTGGTGGAATCCGCCCCCTGGGGAAGGACAGATGGTGGCACTGGTCAGGGCTGGGTTGAGGTGCCCCCCACTGGTCCTCCATCTGCCTAGTGTCTGCTTCCCACTCCAGCTCCCAAGCTGACCAAGTGAACAAAGCACCTGGCTATGTCACAACCCCCAGATCAGGGGGCAGCTCAGCTCTCTGCATCATGGGCTACCCCAGTGCAGAACAAGGAGTGAGCAGTGTCTCAGGGAGACCCAGGTACTCACTCATAACTCTCCCTATACCAAGTGACAGGGACCTCACCCTCCCCACATAGAGAGCTGCTCCTGTCCCCACCAACCTGGGCCTGCCCTGGGCAGCTACCACCAGGTGGATCCAGGTTCTACAGCTGGTAGAAGGGGAGAAGGACACATTCTGTTGGTCACAGCTGCCCAAGGCAATGGGGGGGGGTACTCTATCTATACCCTCAACACTGAAATAGTCTCAGAGTCCCAGTTCCCATAAACCTGTCCCCTGTAGCCCCTAAGCTGTAAGGGTCCAACAACTACCCAATCAGAGAGGGAGAGGCAGGAGGGGGACCATACAGACAAAGGACTACCCTCTCCATCCTCAAGGTGGCTGGAGTTGGATCCAATGCTGTACTAATAGGGCACCCAGTTTGCAAAAGTCTCCCTACAACCGGAAGAGAGCACTGTCATCACAAGCCTCAAAAGGGGTCAGCAACTTGCCCAGTCACATAGCTCAGAGATGATAGAACCAGGATTCAAATCCAGGCTGGATCAGGACCTGGCTTTTAACTTTAGCCAAGTCATAATACTTTCTATGGGGGAAGGCCACCACAGCCTTCCAAGGAACCCTGCTCTGGACAACAGAGCATGAATCACTCATCTCTTCACCAGATCTAATACTGAGCACTTGGCAATGGCAAGCAGGAAGAGACCCAGGGGCTAGTCATGCGAGCTCAAGAAAATGCAGGAGGCTCCCTGCTACAGGGCCCTGCACAAGCCTGCAGGCTTCTCTCTCTACTCAGTTCCTAATTGGTGAAATGAGGCTGACAACAGTTATATCAACTGAAATGAGAGGCCAGGTGAGAAGGAGTCTGTAACTGTCAAGTACTGTGTGTCCATGAGGGCCAATGACAGGAGGAAGAGAGAGGAAGAAAGAGAGAGAGAGAGAGAGAGAGAGGTGCAGCCTTCTCATGAGCCAATTTTATGAGTGAGTCCAAGGGGCTGGGCTCCAGGAGACACCCCTCAGGACCCTCGAGGTGATATTGATCCTGTGTGCTGGTCTGGGGTCCCAGGATACAGACAGGGTCTTTTAGGGGAGCTCCATGAAGGCAGGTCATTCCACACAGACCTGCCCAGGGGCTGGCACAGAGGGAGCTCCCTATCATTGGAAGTATGCAAAAGCAGGACTGGGGAGCTCTGCAGACAAGAATCCCACATTAAGACACACACCAACCCCCAGGCCACTCCATAAGGAGGCTCTGGGGGCCCTTCAGTCCCTCCCTGCCCCAGACCCTTTCAGGCCAGCTCCACCAGACCAGACAGACACACCCAAGCTTGGGCACTCACCCACATTGATGGCCCAGCCTCGCTCCACAGCCAGCTTCCCCGCCTTTGGAGACAAGCAGAGGGTGAAAGGTACAGGGAGCCCATCCCTTCACTCCCTCACTCATCGATTCACTCCCTCACACCATTAAAGTTCCAGCCTTAATGGGGTGGGAAGAAGCTACAAGTTGGGGTACAGGGGGCCCCCCAACCCACCAACAAGAACCAGACTGGCAGACACAGAAGGTCCAGAGCCTGTGAGCCCCTTTGCAAGTAGTAAGGACAGTGGAAGAAATCACAATGCAGCAGTTATCATCCCAAGTGAGCTGATGGTCTTAAGGTGGCTTTCAAGACAGAAAGAGACTGCATTTTGCTTGTGGAAATAGGGTACACTGATTACTGCAATCCCATAGGAATTCACAGCTGGGGGTGGACAGTAATAAAGAAAACTGCAGGAATCAGCAGGTACTGACTGAGGGGCTAGCCTCACTCATTTCTAAGCTAAATGTTCCTCAGTCAGCTCTCCAGCCTGGCTAATTCTTAAGAAAATCACACTCAGGATGTGAAAGCTAATTCTACAGCAACTGTTCTTTATTGCCCATCCATGGTGGGGTTAGGCAGTGGGGCAATTTCCAACCCTGAAGTCAGGGCTTGGTTTTCCACCTGAAATTTGGGAGCATTAGAGGCCTAGGTATAGAATTTATTTTGCTGGGGGTTGGCTATGTATCTTATATACCAACAAATATGGTAACTACCAGAGGAGGAAGAACAATGGATTCTAAAGTCCCCAGAAGGGAAAGGGGTTTGGAGAAAGGGTCATTGCTGCTGGGTCTTGAGGAATATTTAGGATTTTGCTCAACTACTAGGGGTCAGAGCACCACAAGGCAAAGGTGGGAGGGGCCCCATATGAGAGGGAGCCCAGCACCCCCTGCCTTGCCTACCATGATGGTTCCTCCAGTCTGGGTCCGAAGGGGCCTCAGCACCTTCCTCTGCACAAGGAAGTTTGGGAGGAAGATGACAGGGGGGATCTCGGTGATGGTGGCGACCACAAAGGACCACTGTGGAAAGAGATAAGGAACTCAGACTCCCTGTCCTGCCTGGTGTCCTGCCTGGTGGCAGTTTCAAGGCCCCCTTGGATGACTCCCAGGTCAGCACCCTTCCTTTGGTAAAGAAATGACTACCCCAAGCAGGCCCACTGGGCCCAGGCAGTGGGCCTGCTTGGGGTAGTCATTTCTTTAGGTGCTGTAAGAAAATTCTCCCAGGCATTTCTTAGAGCAAGGTCTGCCCAAATTCCCCAGTGCTTTGAAGCACTTGGCTGCCCTCTTGTGCCCACAAAAAGGGCTGCAGAGAGCTGCAAGTCAGCTGGGTGACGTAGGATGGCTTAGGAAGAACTGGTCCAGCTTACCCATGATACAGAGGGCTGGGAGGGAGGGCTCTCAGACTCCTTACTCCCTGCAAAAGGCCTCTGGCCACCTGTCTTTACCTGCAGCTACTGAGGCTCGAGGGCACCCAGAGGTATGTGCACTGAGCTAGGACTCCAAGTCCCCAGGGAGAAGGTCCACAGCACTGACTGTGGCTGCACCCAGCCTGAGCCGTCAATCCCTGGCTGGCTGAGAAGGCATTCTCCTTACTCTCCCCAGCCCCCAGCAAAGCCTGCTGGACCCAGAATGATGCCTGGGCTGAGTCACTCACGAGGTGCCCTATGTGTCCTCATGCTGGGACACTAGCAGCTTGGCAAGGAGATGGACAAACCGCAGGTGCTGATATGAGTGTGCTAAGCGTTGTGACAGAGGATGACGGGGTATGTGTGTGAAGGGAGGAGGCGCCATCTGCAGAAGGTGAACAGTGAACAGGAGCTTCCCAGGTGCAGGGGTCATGGTAGCACAACTGAGGCTGAGACGGAGTTAGGAGAGGGTGGGAAACTGAGGGACACCACTGGTGAAGGGTGAGGCCTGGAAGCTGAGGAGATTGGACAACAGGGGACTGCTCCAAGAGGGACAGGGGAGAGGGAAGAAAACAGGTGGCCAAGCCGAGAGGGTTTTAGAAAGATCAGACAGAGGGAAGCACTGGGGCTACTGAGATATCCCATGAGAGAGAACTGGTGATCAAGCAGAGCCATGTGTTCACCAGCGAAGAGGAGGGAAGCCAGCTGAGAGAGAGGGAGAGGGGCTGAGGATGGGCGTGATGGCAGGACACTCTTGACCAGGTCCCAGAGGGGCTCCTATGGATTGGATTAGGCCACTGGCAACTGGGGGAGACCTCTTGTTGGAGTCTTGGGGTGTGCTGGGCACCCAGGCTGCATGTGTTGCTGGGAATACCGGTTTGGCCACCCCTCCAGGCCAGCAAGGTGAAGGTCAGCTGATGGCTGGGAAAGCTCATCCCCCCACCCCCACACACACACCACCACTCACTGGAGTAGAGGAAAAGGTGAATGGGTCTCAGGAGACCCAGATGGCTCTTGGAAGGAAAGGAAAGATGCCCACTGGGCCTGCCAGGGGCCCAGGCCTCTGGCTGTGATGGGTATCAGGAGGCTGCAAAAGAGGGTGAGTGAGAAGAGCCAGGACCAGGGAGGCTAGACAGCTGCAGGACACAGTCACAGTGTGTGTGTGGATAATGTATCTCACATGCACATGTGCACACTCATGTGTGCTCCTGTGTGCATGGGACGCACATGCAGAGAAGGGGTGACCCGACCCCCGACCAAGGTCCTTGGCTCCTGTTGTTCACACCAGTCCCCCTGCCCAGCACAGACCTAGCACCCATCAGGCACGGAGCCGTTGTTTCCGATGCATTAATGAGAGGCTAACGTCACACACAAGTCCTCTCTCCCTCAGCCAGGTGGCAGGGGAAAAGACTGACGGCTCATGAGGCCATAGTCCAAACTCCTGAGAGGTCCAATACAGCCCAAAACTATGCGAAAGGTATTTCTCCAAGTGTTCCACAGCAATTGCTCTATCACAGTTCTCCATCAGGAAAGGGTTCCTGGGCTGCAGCCATGGCTCAAGTGGCAGAGCACCTGCCTAGCAAGCATAAGACCCTGCGTTCAAAACCCCAGTACCACCAAAAAGAAGGGGTGGTGATCCATGGGCAGATATGTTTGGAAAACACAAGCTATGTTATTCCCTCTTGGAAATTCATGATGCGCTTGATCATGTGAAGGCTCAGAGTAGCTCTGCAGCAAATAATCCTCTTGAATTTTGTCTTGCTCAGTGCTTCCCAAACTTCTCCCCACAAACCTCTACCCTGGATATTTATTCTCTGACACATGCTAGCTTTGCATGGTGCTGCAGCTTCATGGGACACACTGGAGACCTCTGAGCTGGTGACTGAATGTTATACAGTTTGGGGAGCAGGCGTAAAAGTCACCCAGAGCATGTGTGAAAGCCAGTCACTGGGACCAACCCTGTAGGAGATGTATGTTCATCAAACACAGCAGCTGCAGGGCAAGAAAAGGACAGACAGCAGAGGAGCAGGCCGGGCACATGGCTCCTCCTGGTCCAGCTGTGGTTTCTGCACCAGGCAGCAATGCAGTCTACTGAAGCTATTTATGTATACGGTTTTCCCTTGGTATCTGCAGGGGCCAGGATCCAGGATCCCCCTTGGGTAACAAAAACTCAAATACGTTATTAAAAAATGGGGTAGTATTTGCATGAAACCTTCACACATCCTCCCGTGTCCTTTAAATCAGTCTAGACTACTTATAATACCTTACGCTATGTTATTCTTCTGAAAATAACTTTTACATTATATTGTTTAGGGAAAACATAAGAAAATTCTGTTTATGTTCAGGACAGATGCAATTTTCTCTCAAACAGTTTAGATGCATGGTTGATTGAATTTGAGAATGAGGAACCCAATGAGGATCAATGTAATTTTAAACTTATTTACAAATTAAAAAAATTGACATCCTGTTCCTCAGTTACCCTACCCATATTTCAAATGTTTAGTAGCCACACGTGGCTGAGCGGGTACTTGAGAGGGCAGAGCAGATCTGGGACATTTCCACCACGGCAGAAAGCCATGCTCAGGAAAACCTCATCTGCAGATGGGGTGAAAAACAGTGGTCGAGGAGAGGCGGCCTGTGGAGGGAAAAGAGAATGGGGTTTGGCAGAGGCAGGCTATGGGTTCAGGGGAGGTGACAGGAGTGGTAGATGAGGTAGAGGGGACAGAGCATCATGGTGACATCTCTGACAAAGGATGGGGGTGAGCAACAGGATACAGTGACAAAAGCACTAGAAGTGCTTGCAGCAGCTGCTGCAGTGGGTGCCGGCACGGATGGGGCAGGCAGGGAGCAGACAGCTCAGGGATGGATGCTCTAACTGTGATGTGCAGCAAGCTACGGTGCAATGGCCCAGATCCGCAGGTGGGAACCTCTGATAACCTCACTAGGTAGGGACACACTAGAAGAAGTAGGGTGAGGAAGGGCTCCAAAGTCCTATCTGGGCTCTGCCACAGGCAGAAAACAGGGCTTTGAGTGAGGATGCAGACACAGAAACCCAGAGGCCTTAAAACCAACCTAAAATACCCCCACTAGGGCCACCTCAGTCACCTTTCCACGCAGCACTCGCCTCTACCTGAGGCTACCGGATGTCTCCATTCGTATCTGTCCCCCTCAGAAGAATGGCAGCACCACATGGACAGGAACATGGCTTTGCTCATTCCTATGCAGACAGCAGAAGACAATGCCTGGCACACTGGAAGTGCTTGTCTTGCACACAGCAGATGCTCCAGCCCTCCCTATCCTCCTCCTGATGGAGGCCACCTCTCCTCTACCCATCTTAGAAGGAACATGGCAATGCCTTGCTGTCTGCTCTGAGCAGGGCAACCCTGTGGGGACCTTCACACCTCACAGCAGCTGTGGGATCAGTGTGGGGTCCCATCTGTGGGAGAGCCAGCAGGTGGTTGAGTTTAACAATCCCTCCAGGTGATTGTGATGCTTGCTGTACTCTGAGAGCTGTGAGTCTAAGGACCCTGACCTAAGACAATGCGGGATAAATGAATATACTACATGAAGATGGGAGTTTATTCCAGCCTCATGCCTCCTGCCACCAAGTGTGTGGCTTGTGAGCTTCCCTATTCCAGGGCCTAGCAAGGTGTCAGGGCCTCTACCCCCAGACAACCTCTGTGGGACCCACAGATTGCAGGACACACCTGGGGCTGGGATGCCTCTAAGACCTACTGGCCCACCACTCAGCTCCACAAGACTCCACGCTCCTGCTGCCTGATTTCCTCTGGTAGACCTTTGGCCCTCAGAGTTTTAAACCAAGAAGTGCTTTTGGGGAGAGGGTGGGCTGCAGCCCAACTCAGAGCCCCTTGCCCACCTTGAGTGAGTCCTTTCCAACAGTGGAACAAAGCACAGAAGGAGAGAAGGACAGGAAACACAGGAGCATCTCAGTAATGTAGAAAAAGCCTTTGACAAAACTCAACACCTTTCAGCATAAAAATCATTCCATGAGCTAGGAACAGCAGGGAACTCTTCCATCACGATAATGGGCATTTATTAAAAACAAACGAATAAGAAAAACTACCCACAATAAGCATACACAATGCACTGAAAGCCTTCCACTCAAGATCAGGAGTAAGATGAGGTCTTATTCCTGCTTTGCCACGTCTACTCAACATATTACTAAAATGCCAGCCAGAGGAACTAGGCAAGAAAAGTAAATAAATGGTATCTGTTTATAGATGGCATGATGTCATACCTAAAGATCCCAAAGAATTTGCACAGAACTATCAAAGCTAAAAAATGAATTCAGGATACAGGATAAATACACAAAAATCAGTGGCATTCCTAGAATTCACATGGAATCTTAAGGGACCCCAAGAGTCAAAACAACCTTGAGAAAGAAGAACAAAGATGGAGGGTTCACAAGTTCACAGTTCAACACTTACACAAAGCTACAGTCGCCAGAACAGTGTGGTGCTGGCATAGGAACAGACACAGAGATCAACTGATTTTCTACGAGGACACCAGGATCATTTATTGAGGAGAAAATAACAAATGCTGAGAGACCTGAGTGTCCACAAGCCCTGCAAAAAATAAAGTTAGAGTTTCACCTCAAACCATATAAAAAGATTTAGCTTCAAAACTTATCAAGGCCCAATATAAGCTGAAAGTATGAAACTCTTAGAAGAAAACTCTTAGAACAAAACACCATGAGTTAGTCATAATCTATTTTTTTAGAAAAGAAAATGACAAGTGTTGACAAGGATGTAGGGAAATTGGGCCCTGATTTACTGCTGGCGGGTATAACATAAGCCTCTGTGGAAACTATTCTGATGGTTCCTTAGACATTAAACATAGAATTATCGTACGATCCAGCAATTCGACGCCTAAGTATATATCCAAATAACTGAAAATCAAGTATTCAAATAAATATGTGTATATGTAAGTCCACAGCAGCATGATTCACAACAGCCAACAACTCACATGCCCATAAACTAATAAATGAATAAACAAAATGTGGTGTACCCGTGCGATGCAATATTATTCAGCCACGAAAAGGAATGTGCAGGGCTTGGGGTATGGTTCAGGGGTAGAGCACTTGCTTGGCATGCATGAAGCCCTGGATTCCATTCCATACAAAAACAAACAAAAACGAAAAAGGAATGTACAGATACATGTTTAAAATGAATGACCCCTGAAAACATTATGCTAAGTGATATAAGCCAGACACAAAAGGTCACGTTGTAGTATTCCACTTATATGAACCATCCAGAATAGGCAAATCCACAGAGAAGAAACACAGATTGGCAATTATAGGGAGAAATGGGGATGAGTGCTTAATTGGGACCTGGTCACTTTTGGGGGTGATGAAATACTTTGGAACTGGACAGAAGCGATGGCTGTACCTCATTATAAACAATCTAAACGCCAGTGAATTGCACACTTCAAATGGTTAAGGATTAGTTTTGTTGTATGAATTTTACTCTAACTTTTTTAAGAAAGGAGAAGGGATGTTTTGGGGAAGACAAGACAAGAGAGAGACCAACCCCAGGATCTCATTCCTCCAGGTGCTCTGGGTGCTGAGGGCTATGCCATTCAGCCTCTCTCTCTCCCACACCTTCACTGACATTGGAGATAGTCCTGCCTCAGGGTCTTCACACTTGCTGTTGCTTCCACTTGAAATGCCCTTCCCTTTGATGCCTGTAAATCCACTCCCTTCTGGTCTGATCATACACCACCTTTCATAATATAAGCCCTCTCCTGACGACAACCCTCCACCCTCTTCCCACTGCCCCTTCCCTTCCTCCCAGCACTTTGCACCTTCTAGGTGCTGTATCAGTACCTATTATGTTTGCTACCTGCTCTTTCCCATGTGCCAGCTCCATTAGGAAAGGGATTTGCTCTCTTTGGTTCCATTCTGGCCTCACAGCACCCAAAACAAGAGTGTTGTGCTCAGTAGGTAATTGCTGGTAGATATGTCCTGAGCACTACCCAGCACACAGCACCCAGGGACAAGTTGTCAAGTGAGCCTATCCCTCCATCCTTGGCTTTATCCTGGTCCCATTCTGTTCTGGTCTCTTCCTGCCCTGACGCAGAGCCTCCTGGTCCTGAGCTCCCCTCACCCTTTGGACTCTGACAGGCATGTCCTCCTGGCCCAGCCCCTGGGCTGTGGACTGTGACCGCGCATGCCTGGGCCCCAGGAAACCAGGGCAGTCAAGCACCAGGCTTCCTGCCAACACCTCACATGCCTCTCTGTCCCATGAGCCAGGCTGCAAGCCTCTTCCTGATAATCTTTCATGAGCTCACACAGTCAGGTACCAGCCCCATAAAGAATTCTCACAGCTCAGGCTGGGGCTGGGGAGGCAGAAGGGTGGTAACCATGACCACAACCCTGGAATACTAGATGGGTGCCCTGCAGGGGTCTCCCACAGGCCTGACTGACTCTTTAGGTGACCTGAGCAGGCACAGCTGGGCTCTGGGCAGAGGCTTTGCCACCCATAAAATGGAGAGGCCTACTCATTTTGGGCCTTTGAGTCCAGGATGAGCCCAGCCAGGAAGCCTGGGGGCCAAGGGTCTCACTCTTTAAGGGCAGAAAAACCATAACATCCCAACCCTGTCCCTACCAGGACTGGCTGGCAACACTAGGTTCTGATGTAAGCCCTTGTTCCAGCCCCCATTCTGTGCCCACAGGAAGCACAAATTGAATACCACAGTCCTCAGGACCTTGGCCCCCAGCAGGAGCTATGTGGCCTCCTAAAAAGAGGTCACAGGCCGGCAGCCGGTGGCCCAGTTTGGTCTGCCTTGCAAAGGTGCTGTGTTAAGAAGTCGGGGAAGATCATTTAATAAGCTGCATGTCCGGTTTCTCTTGGAAACTGGCACTCTGGCCAGGTGGGACCCATGGTGGAGCTGTGTGGCAGCCACCTACATGGGAAGGGCTAGAGTTCTGCAGTTCAACCCAGACACCTCCACCTGCCCACCTTCTTTACTCCCCTGCCAGACCCTGGGGGAGTTCCAAACCAGTCTCCAGCCCAACCACTTTCAACAAGTCTTTACAAGAAGTCCTTGGAAACAAATCCTAAACTCCAGTCCAAAAGAAGAAACAACATGGAATAGCCTTAGTTGGAAGGGACAAGAGGTGGGGGTCTTCAGCAGAGGTCTCTGAGGCCTGTCCACAGAGCACAAGTTGAAAGTCACTAGTGTAGAAGCCCAAATCTCCTAAGAGGTTCAGTCTTCACCAGCAGACATCCCTGCTTTCATATGCTCTGAGATGGTGCACTCAGTACCCACCCAGCCGCCTTTTATGACTTCTCCATTTGGGAACCAGAGACTCCCACTGCACTAGGAATAGGAGTGGGTGCCCCTGAAGCTGGACTCTCCCAGCTGAGTTGCCCCTCCTCTGGCACTGCCCCGGCCAGCAGCCCCCAGGTTACTGTCCTGTACCTTTAGCTCGTTGAGATACCGCCTCGTGTGCACCACCAGCAGGTCTTCCTCTGAGGCCTCCCGGGCCTCCACCAGCATGCCATCCGACAGCAGCTTCTCCTCTGGAACCACAAAGTGAGCCCTTGCTTCCTTTCTGTTACCTCAAGGCCAGACCTGGCCTTGACCCTCCCATAGGAGGCTGGGAGGCAGCCCCTGGCAGCCCCCAGCCCACAAAGTAGGTACTGCTGACTTGTGGATGTCCTGAGAACAGGCTACCTCCTAGACCAGTGTGGACGATGGCCAGGCCCTCTGGCCCAGGGACATTAAACATTGGGCATACAGCAGTCGTCATGTTTCCCAAGCCACCAACAGCCACCAGCTGAGCTCAGGTGCAACTGGATGACTTCCAGAGGTAGGTGACATAAGGTAACTAATGCTGACTCTTGAGGTAAGAAAAATCTCTCCTCAGCAATTTTTTTTGGGGGTGGGACCAGGGTTTTGAACTCAGAGCTTCATGTTTGCAAAGCAGGAGCTCTACTACTTGAGCTACACCTCCAATCCATTTTGTTCTGTTATTTTGGAGATGGGGGTCTCGCAAACTATTTGCCCAGGCTGGCCTGGAACACTGACCCTCCCAATGGTGTTAGGCTTCTACTTAGCAATTCTTTCTCCACCTTCTGGTGACATCACAGGAAGTTTAGGGTGGTATGGCTTCTGCATAACACAACCCTGAACCTTGCCCATCTCCCCTTCTAAGCAGAGAGCAGCCTCCAGTCCTGAGGACTGCAGGCAATGGGAACCAGCCAGTGCAGAATTAGTTGTTTTCATTGCATTTCTTTTTTACCACTACCTTCTCTTTATGGCAAATTAAATAACCTTTTCCCACTTACATAACATAATGCTTCCTTTAAAACAAATTTTAGTTAAAAAAAACCCAAAAACAAAAAAAAAAACAGAGGCTGTTATTAAAAATAGGCAGAAAATAATGGAACAGGTGGTATGAGGAGAAGGCAGGATCCCAAGACTGGCCTGTGACTAACCGATGTTTGAGAAGCACTGCATTATTTCCACACCCTTCACCCAAGATTAGCTCCATGTTGCAGAAAAAGAAAGTGAGGCTGAGAGTAGGCTGTGCCCTAGAGCACTGTGAAAGCAGACCATGATGTTTTGCATTCCAGAGAAAGCAGAATCCAGGGCACCCATCCCAATGAGTCATGCTTGAAACCCAACTGTGGTAGACACCAACCTGTTTCATACCTTTTCCACATATAGACTTAGGCAGCGGCTTCCTGCCCAGAACATTCCACAATCTCCATCACCCTCAGGAAAGGGGCCAGCCCCTTTAGTGGCATAGCATCCAAGGCCCCTCACTATGCAGCTCCTGCCTCCCTTCCATCCTCATCCTCAGAAGAGAACCCTTTGTTGAGCTCCAGGTGAAGCAGGAACACAAGAAGGGGCAAAGGAGACAGTGCAGGACCATATTTAAGAAGGCAAGTGAGGTGCAAGGTGAGAGGTTCTCTCCTCACCAGGATTCACACCTTCCCTGCACATCATCTGTGTTCTTTCTGCTTCATGTTTTTCTTCAAATGCTGTTTGGTCACTACCGCACATGGAAAATCAGTATCACTTGCCATAAACAGGAGAACCAGAAATGAAAAACAAATCCAACGGAAGCAAAGAGTGTGATTAATCGCTAAGCTGATCCTACTTTCTGCAAGATGCAGAGCCTGAGGCTTGCTCTAGATTCGTTAAAGGAGATGGGCTTGGGTGTTAAAGACGGGTTAGCTCCAAGTGAAACATCCTCCATGCTGTGATCAGAAGGGTATGCTTTTAAAATACTCAACGTTTCATCCTTTGCCAGGCAACATTTCCTACTCTCTCAATTAAGGAACCCCTGAAGCAGGGAACACCCCCCCCCCAAATCAAACCACAGTTAAAACAATGTGCTTCTCACAGGGTTACCTTGGAAGCGCTGAAGGAGCCCCATCCAGGGATAAATCTGGAACTGACTTCCAGACCCCATTCTCCCACTCAGTAGCTGGGTGGCTTTGGGCATGTTTCCAGCATTTCTGGTGGGATTCCCCTGTCTGTAATCAACAGGGTTGGAGCAACACTTCTCTACTCCACTCTCTCTGAAATGGATACTGGACTCCTCTAAACTTCAATTTCCCTGTGTTCAGCATTAATCAGCTCCCCTTCTAACAGCTGGGGCAGCGGAGGAGTCATGCCTGCAGTGATAGAGCCAGAGGGAGTGAGATGGAGGCACATCATTCATGCTCAGGAGCCAGGACTAGAAAGACCCTTTCAACGGCAGGGGCAGAACGCAGTCTGGGGGCTGAATGCAGAAGCAGAAGTCTGAAGTTTATGCTTTGGATGAGGATGGGGAGGACAGGTGGGTTGCAGGAAAAGGATGTGGGGTCTGAAGGGGGCCTTGCATACCTTTTAGGAAATTGATCACCTTGCCCCATTTCCCTGCATCAAAAGGGTGCAGCTTCTCCAGGCCCATGAAGGTGATGTTGTATCTCGGTGAGTACACGATGGGCCAGCGTTTTTCTGGCACATGCTGGTACAGCTGGGTTGTGTGTGGCCTTCAGTGTGCATAAGGACAGACATGGCAGACTCAGTGTGAAAAGCAGCCTCCCCTCCCTTGACCCACAACACTGACACCCTCTGCTGCAAAGGGTTCCTTAACAACAGCGACAAGAATAAAAACGGCTCCTCGCTGAGCCTGGTTAGCTTTCACGGGACTCAGTTCCAACCCCGACCTCACAGCAGGCCAGAGAGACAGGCACCACAATCGCAGGAGACACCCTCCAGGGGACCTGGTGTGCCCAAGGTCAGGCAGCAGCGGGTTTGTGGAGGAGCCCGGGTACTCAGGTGTGCCTGGCCTCAAGGCCTCAGCACCTCACTTCTACACCAAAACAACTGCACCCTACAGCCGCGAGGCCCTAGGCCTGGGTTTCTCTACCTGGGAAATGTGTGGCTGTTGCGCGGACCCAGCTGGGCGCAGATAGCGCTCAGAGAGCTCGGGTCCGGACTCCAGGGGGCATGTGGCCTAAGCAGGAGCCAGGATTGGGAGTCACTTGGGGCTCCGGTGCGCTATTGTCCCCTCATCAGACCCTGCAGCTGCCACACAGGGACTAAAACCCCGCTCCAGCAGCCGCCACTATGAGAGCGTGTGCACAGCTGGGGAACCCAGGATAGGGGAGACGTCAGACCCACGCAGGACGCCAGCCCCAGCCAGATCGGGGCACTGCGGCCGGTGACAGTCCCTCGGGGCGCAGAGAAGGGGAGCAGGAGTGGCCCTACGCATGGGGCGGCCGAGAGCACGGGCCTGCGCGCCCCTTGCTCGCCATACTTGGCCCGCACCTGGCGGACCAGTCGGCCGCGCATTAGCTCTTCCGCCCACGGGGACCCCTGGGGACCCTGGGGCTTGGCCCGGCGCCCCTCCCCAAAGCCCCCGCCCCGCCCCGCCGCACTCACATCCCGGGGCCGGCCCTCCCAGCGCTGGCCGCAGCTTCGCGACCGGGCGGGGCAGGTGGGGGCAAGGCCACCGAGGCCCCGCCCAGGACACGCCCCCGGCTTTGGCGCCTCCGTCGGGGGCGGAGCTCCGGCAGACTAGTCTCCGCCCCTCCCGCGCCCGCGCTGAGTCACAGAGGATGGAATCCCGGGCTCAGCTCGCCTGCAGAAAGCAGGCCACGCCCCCAGCGCACGTCAAACGCAAAGTCCCGCCCACTGCCGACAAATACCCAGTGGAATCCCACCTGGCTCGGAAGGCCACGCCCCCTTGGAGGGAGGGCCGAGAGGGATTTCGCCCTAGCGTCACGAGAGGCGGAACGTGCGGCGTCGCCCCGCCCCGGAGGCGTGAGCGCTCTGTGCTGAGTTCCTCCATGCCAGCCTGTTTTTGTGCTCTCTGAAGCTGGTTAAAAACTGGGATCCGCTGGGAGGTGGAAATGCCTGCTTCCCCACTGGCTGACCCCTGGAGTCGCTGTGTGACCTTGAGCAAGCACCTGCGCTTTCTGGGCCTTTGTTTCCACCACTAATAAATTGTGGGGGTAGGGCTGCTATGTAGCTCGGTGGTTCAGAGCTTGCTAGCATGTGCAAGGTCCTGGGTTCGATCCCACCACCAAAAAAGAAAAGACAAAAAAAAAACAGGAGTGGGCGGTGAGGGTTGCTCAGGTCTTGCATCTTTGACCTAATAGGAACCATGACCTCGTGTTGAGGCCATGCGCGTCCATCTTTGGCAGCTCTGCTACGATACAAGCACTCCTCAAACAACTCATAGTCCTCCCTGGGCCTCAGTTTCTTCATTCGTAGAACAGGCCTGGTGATCCACTCCTCAGGGTACATACAGTAGAGTATCTGGGTGCATTCTTCTGTCCCCATTCCCCCATTCCCCCAAGAAACTGAGACAAGCCCAAGTAACAGCTGGGGAGTGGCTGTAGGGCTGGAACTTGGGAGGGAGGCCCAACAATAGAGCCCAGAGGACAGGGACAATGGCCCCTCTGTTGGCCCAGTTGTCTCCGCCAACCAAACAGAAGCAGCTGACCAGAGGGCTGCCAGGAGCAGGGCAGCTGGGTTCACTGGTGGCTCCGTGGGGTGTGGGTGCGGCAGCGTGGGGTCCTGTGAAGGACAGAAACATCTGAAGAGGGCCTTCCAAGTGCCTGCTACTTGATTGCATGACAGCGTTTGATTCTCCAAAACTAACCGTCCGAGGGACGTCATCATCGCACCAAATTTATCATGAGGGTCAGACCCTGATCACACCCAGATTCTGTCTCTTGCCAACACAGTAGCCTTGGGCAAGTTGCTTCAGCTCTCGGGCCCTTCATTTCTGCATCTGAAAATGGATAAGGTCTGCCTGCCTGCCTCATGCGGAACTGGGAGAAAAAGATAATCCTGACTGTGTGCTAGGCTGGTCATAAAAGCGTTATGCTTATGGAATTCTCACAGCCATCCTAGGAGGCAAATAATGTTTGTGTCCATTTTATAAAAGAAGAAACAGAGGCACAAAAGGGTGAGGTAACTTACCCAAAGGTAGGGATGTGTAATAACAAGTGACCAAGGGCATGCAGGGTCCATCCGCGTGGGAGGCTGGCTGCATCCCAGGGGACTGCCCTGAGGCTTGGGGAACCATACAGATGACACTCTGGTTGGGAGAATGAGGGTCTGGGCTGCTGGACCTGGGAGCTGAGGCTCCCAGGATTAGTCTGGGTAAGAGGACGTTTTAAGTTTTGTCTTTGTGACCTGGGGAGTCCCAGTTCTTGGGAACTTCTTCAAACCATTACGAAGCCTGGATCACCTCCCAGTGCTATCACACGTGCAGGACAGAAGCTGTGTTATTTAAACCATTGTATTTGGGGGCCTCTTTGTTACAGCATCCCAGTATATCTGCTCACTAGGAGTCTGAGAGCCTCTGTCAAGCCCACAGGTTAATGGGAGAACAAATCTTAAACTAGTAAAGAAAAAACAAATCCTAGTTACCCAACGTGGTAACGTGAGAGGCACAGCCGAGACTATGAGAGAGGAACTGGTCAGTCCCACGTGTAGACAGTGCTCAAGGAAGGCTCCTTTGAAGACAGGACCTCCTTTTTGCTTTTTAACCATGTATGTTTTATTTTATAATGTGTAATAAGAAAGACATTGACTTTCTGGACATTGTATATTTATTTTTTCCCCTTTCATACAATCTTGAGCTATAGTGCAATTTAAATGAATAAGAGGACTTGGGGACTGGCTCAGTGCTAGAACACCTGCCTTGTATACACAAGGCCCCAGGTTTAATCCTCAGCACCACAAAAAAAATGAAAGCCCCTAAATATAGCACTTCTTTTAAAAGATATAGGCATATGTTACCTACAAAAATGCACAAAACACAAATAATAGCCTAGATCCAATATTTGCAAAAGGCTCAATCGCCAGCCTGGGGTGCTACTAGAAGGTGGTGGAACCTTTAAGAGGTGGGGCCTAGAGGGAGGAATCTAGATCATTATTAGGGCATGTCCTTACAGGGGGTATTGGACCCTAAATCCCTCCTCTTTGTATTTGCTTCCTGGGTGCCATGAGGTAGAAGCTTCCTTCTCCAAGCACTTCCACCACCATAAAGTGTTGCCTCACTACAGGCCCCAAAACAACAGGCCACCTGACCAACGGCTGAAACCATGAGCCAAATAAACCTTTCCTCTTTTTCAAGTTGATTGTCTCAGGTGTTTTGTCACAGTAATGGAAAGCTGAGGCAGAGGTGCTATTAGAAAATGGTGAAAATGAACAGGTGGGGCATAGTGGAAGGTCTGGGCATGCTCCTGAAGGGGGTGTGGGCTCCCTGACCCCCTCTTCACTCTCTCTTTTACTTCCTGGCTAGCAGGTGAGCAGCTTCACTCAGTCACATGTTCCCACTGCCTCGCCATAGGCCTAACACCACAGGACAAACAGGTCATTGACTGGAACCTCCAAAATAAACCTTTGTTCTTTATAAGCTAATCAGTTATCTATTATGGTATACAAATTGACTAACACACGTGTGAGTGGGGCTGAGGCTGGCGGTTAGGCAGAGAATACCTGCTGATGTTCTGGGTCATCTTGGAGAGTCCTCCAGCCCTCTCTGAAGCAACTCTGTAACAGAAGTGAACTGGGCTTTTAAAATGGTCCTGCCTCCTTTCCCTTACTGCCTGCAAGGGCCTTGTTGACTTGGAGCACCCACAAGGCATTTCACCACGGAAACATGACACTCATTCCTAGCTATGTCTATCTACCATATACCTCAGGTGATGGCACTGGTCCATCCTGGTGACCAGGTGATGCCCAAAGGGACCACTATCTCTGTCAGAACCCCTGGGTGCAACGTTCAGAGGTTCTAGCCTCAGCCTCAACCAGAAGAGTTGGGCAGTGTCTCTCAAGACAGGCAGAGAGCTGGGTGATAGTGGCTCACACCTATAATCCTAGCTCAGGAGGATTGTGGTTTGAAGCCAGCCTGGGCAAATAGTTCATGAGACCCTATCTTGAAAATAACGAACACCAAAAAGGGCTGGTGGAGTGGCTCAAGTGGTAGAGCACCTGCCTAGCAAGCTGAAGCCCTAGTTCAACTTAGTTGAACTAAGTTCAAACTCCAGTACAAGCAGGGACTTTTAACATGCTGGGTGTGATGAGGTCATGTCTCCTTCTCTTGGCTCCTGGCAGCGAGAAGTTTGCTCTGCGTACAGGGACTGGTACCTAGGGAATTTCAGGGCCTTGGGCGCTCATTAGCACACAGGTGCCAGCAACAGATCATACACACACTCAGGTCTCCCTTGGCCACACTGATGCAGGAGACGTGCCACACCCAGACACACACACAAATGCAAAGACAGGCACAGTTGCACCAAAGAGCCTCCCAGGCAGATGAGTACAGCTGTGTGCCACCATACCCAGCCCCACGACTGGCCACCTTGTTTTCCTGCTTAGTGTCTCTGTCCAAATGCAGATGGGATGACCTCAGGTACAGAATGTTTTCATTGCTGTGCCCCTTCCACAGAAAGTAATGTTCCTGTGGCACAAACATTGGAGGAGGAAAGGTGGGAGGGGGAGGAAGACAGGATCTCCACACGTGTACACGGAGGCAGAGTTGGGGTTTGCTCAGTGTGGTGTGTACACAAGGAGGGAAGGAGCTTTAAGCATGCATATTATAAATATACATACAGAGAGTATGGGCTTACCATGTACCAGGCCCTGGGTTCAATTCCAGACAACAAACAAACAAACAAACAAACAAAAAAACAGACAACAAACAAAGAAAAACCCACTTAGCAACCTTGGAAGGGCCCACGTGAGGCTAATGGGAAGTCTGTTTTTGTCACATGCATGAAAACAAAGAAAACTCACAAACGTATGTGTGAGTACAGACACAAGCTCCCTCAAGCACACATGCACAGGCATGCATGTGTCTGCAGTCTGGTGGCCTCCCTGGCTGAGTCAGCCTGGGGATAGGCCCCTGCAGCCCCCGCAGCAGTTAAGCTTTAGCTGGCAGCATTGCACCTGCACAGAGTCCCATCCTTCCACCCGCTCTGCTATTTCCTGTCTCCAGCCTCCTCACCCCACACCCCACACCCACGAGGAGGAGCAGGAGGGGACGCAGAGGTCTCTTGAGAGAAGGGGAGCAAAACGAGGTTGCCTCTGTCCCTCAGAATGAGCACCCTCAGCCTTACACTCCCATCTGGTCCTGCTGCACTCTCCTGAAGAGGGGGAACCGAGGCCGAGAGGGAGGCCACCAGCTATAATTTGGGCCCCCAGAGACATCATCACAAGCGCATGGAGAACCCTCACACATTTTTCTGGAATGCATGAAACTTTAAAGGGTTTTCTTTTTTTGATACAGAAAAGTGCTAAAAAAAACCTCCGAAATGGCTGGTGACATTTTAAAAATATGGTTAATGAATGCGCACATTGAGAAAACTCAAGTGGTTCCAAAAGATTATAAAACGAAAACCAGAACCTTCTCTCCCATCGCAGCCGCTCTCCCTAGAGATGA